AAATATTCAGACAGTTTTCAGATGAGACAAGTACTGTGATAGTTTCAACAGCCCCAAAGCACAGTATATTCATTTTATCAGAGCCAATAAAAACAAGAGAAGAGATCTTTAGAGGAATTCTTCAATAAGATAGTTAAGACTTGTTTAACATCTTCCTTTCCCTCTCAAAACACACATGCACATGCACACAAACACAGACAGACAGACAGACAGACAGACACACACACACACACACACACACACACACACACACACACACACACACACACACAGTTTTCTAGGGCTTAGAACTAGAAAGAGATTTTTCTATCAGCACAATTTGTGTGACATGTTCAGCTAAGACATACCTACCCACTGAGATGAAGCACACAGTATTTCCCCACCAGCATAAAGAGATCAACAGTCTCTCTACCCCAGAAGAAGATACACACTAAGCAAGTTTTCTCACAAACTTTAAGAAGAAATCTCAGGCTGGGAAGGTGGCTCAGTGGTAGAGTGCTTGCCTCACATGCATGAGGCCCTTGGTTTGACTCCTCAGCACCAATAAACAGAAAAAGCTGGAAGTGATGCTGTGGCTCAAGTGGTAGAGTGCTAGCCTTGAGCTGAAGAGCTGAGGGACAATGCCCAGGCCCAGCATTCAAGATCCACGACCGACAAAAAAAAAAAATCTTTGCCTTATATGCCAGATAGTATATATGTGTACAAGCACATGCATGTGCGTGCACACCCACACCTTCCTGCCCCCTTCCCTATTTTCTATGGTCCTGCTCAATGACTGTCTGCCTGCAGCTTTTCCTTCCCCAGCCTCCCAACACCCATCCAAGGCAGAAGCACAGAAGACAGGCCAAGGGCTGCTGCTGCCCCACTTCAGGCTGATAATCTTACTTAGCCCCTTCAGCAAACTTCCCTAGGTCTAACAATAGAAATCAGAGTCACCCAAGGGGGCTGAGAAGGTGGCTCAGTGGTAGAGCGCTTGCCTTGCATGCCTGAGGCCCTGGGTTCGATTCCTCAGCACCACATAAACAAAAAGAAAAAAGCTAGAAGTGGCGCTGTGGCTCAAGTGGTAGAGCGCTAGCCTTGAGCTGAAGAGCTGAGGGACAGCGCCCAGGCCCAGAGTTCAGGCCCCATGACCAGATCTCCCCCCCCCCCCCAAAAAAAAAAAGTCACTCAAGGCAGTAATTATTTGGGTTTTTTTTTTAACTGTATTGTTTTTTGTCTTTTCTTTTTTGGTACTGGGGATTGAACCCAGGACTTTGCACTTGCTAGGCAAGTGCTTTGCCACTGAGCTACATCCCAGCCCCCAGGCAGTAATTGTTGTTGTTGTTTAATAAATGCTTTATTGTGTGTGTGTGTTTGTTTTTGTCGGTCGTGGGGCTTGAACTCTGGGCCTGAGCGCTGTCCCTCAAGCTCTTCAGCTCAAGGCTAGTGCTCTACCAAGGCAGTAATTGTTAACAGGCCACTTTCCCACAGGTACTCAGACCCTCTTACCCCCATTAGGCACTGGGCCACCTGCCCAGAGCAGAACTCAGAATCCAGATGCAGTGGGGAGTAGGACACAGTCTTTAGGTTCAGGGCAGTAATGAGGCCATGCTACTTCAAATTTGAAGAGCCTCCCTCAAACTGCTCACCCAGTCCTTTCTCCCAGGGAAAAGAGGGACTATACCAGCAGAACCAAAGAATGCCCTTGGCCCGTTCCCCAAGATATTTCAAAGTTTCAATTTCTTTGGGTGACCAATCTTTCACATTTTAGAGAAAGGGAGCCCAAGGGGACTGTTGTACAGGAAAGGGGAGCAGAGGAAGGGGAGAGAGAAGGAGCGAAACTAGGAAAGTTACTTTTTAATTCTTAAGGAACATTAGAGGAATCCAATTTGTGAGTCAGCTCTGGGAAGCTACACTGATGGGGAGTGGGGAACAGCTGCAGCCTGACCTAAGCTCAAGACAACTTCTCCTTCAGCCCTTAGAGGCGGCTGTATGTTGTGACTCACATTAGAAGGGAGCTCGATTATTTCATTAACAAATTAAAAGAACAAAAATCCTTACCCTATCCTGGTCTGCTCAGGCATGGCCAAAAGGTTTTTCCCTGTCCGATGGGAGAGGCAGAGGCTACAGGAGAGACAGCACTGAGGACAGACGTGGGACATCCTTGCCTAGAGTCCCCCCTTCCCTGTTATTCCATTCCTTGGCACCATCCTATGACATATCAAGTATCTGCCCTTGGAATTCTTACTTCCTTGTTTTTCTTTATGGTTTTCCCCTAAGCTATATAGCTTTACAAGTTCCTGAAAGAGCTGCCCAACCCCTAAGGAAGTTTTCAGAGTCATACTCTTTCCTGTCAATTAGAACCTTCCTTTCAATCCCAGAGTAGAGTAAAAGGCCCCTTTGCCCACCCCAGACAATTCCCCCTCTAGATCTGAGCAGGATGAGGGAACCAGGGTCAGCACTAGCAGACTCTCTTCCAACAACTAAAATGTATGGCACCATGACTACAGGGAGCTATGGGACACTGGAAAAGTTGAGCTTCTCTGGGAATCCCTCCTGCACTAAAATACAAGCCGAATGATCTACAGAAAGCTTCCTCTCTGAAGGATTATTTATGAAGCTCAAATGTCTATAGTGAACACTGGTATTAAACTTCCCAACCCAAACAAAGCACTATTTGTTAACCATCTCAAAGACTTCTTTTCCAAAGAAGACTTTTTAAGGTTTTTCTCATTTTGATTTACAAATGCAGAAAAGAAGACATTTTATAAATGGAGGAACCAGAACAAAGAGGCAAAGTGACTTTCCAGAAGAGAGTTGTCAAACTTCAGTTCATAACATATTATGCTATTTACGATTTGATTCACTTACAACTACTTTCATAGAAACTATCCCATACATATCCTGTGAAGAAGGTCTTATTATTATTTCTATTTTATCTGAAGTTTGTATAGTCCAGGGACTTGCTTGACATCCATCTCAAGTGACAAGCAGCAAAACCTGGCCATAGATGCATGTCTTCTTTCTTTCTTTCCTTCTTTCTTTCTTTCTTCCTTTCTTTCTTTCTCTTCTTTCCTTCCTTCCTTCCATGTGTGTGTGTTGTGTGTGTGTGTGCGTGCTAGTCCTGAGGCTTGAACTCAGGGCCTTAGTCACTGTCCCTAACTTTTTTTGCTCAAGGCTAGCATCCACCACTTGAGCTACAGTTCGACTTCCAGCTTTTTGGTGGTTAAATGGAGATAGGAGTCTCACAGACTTTCCTACCTTGACTGGTTTTGAATTGAGATCCTCAGATCTCAACCTCCTGAGTTGCTAGGATTACAGACATAAGCCACAGGCTCCAGATTGAGTCCTATCTTCGTAGCCCAAATTTATTATTCTCACTGCTATATCAAAAGAAAGAACATCAGCTCCTTAAAGCCCATGGCTAGTTCTTTTCACACATGCAGAAATGGCAAAAGAGGGGTAGCTCTGGGCACATTCTCTTGAGTCCAGGAAAAGGCCTGAGATGCTACACGTTATATTGCCACTAAAATGAACCACTGGGTTCACAGACTTCCTTTATCATATATCCCCCACACACAGTATCAGGCCACATTCCTCAAGCAAAACACAGGTTTCAAGCAAAGGATCCCAATAGTCTAGTAAGGGGATACACGTTAACTTTAGAAGTGGCTTATCTTAGGTCTAGAGCTACTGAGCTTTGGAGATTCAGACCACAACACTGAGACACATATGTATACATTCAAGCAGCCAGAATCGGGGACAGGGCCAGTGCTTGCATTGGCAAGCTGACCCGAAGTTAATCAGAAGGCCCCCTCATTGTTTGCCAGAACACAAAAGACATTCTGTTCAGAAAGTTCAAGAAGAAAAACTGAAGAGCCAGGACCACAGCTGTTCCCTCCACTAAAAAAGTCCCTGTAGCCAAATATAAGTTTAAGATGTAACATGACTGAAGGAGAAACACATCTCCTCATGAGTCTCTGCTCTGTCTACAGCATTCATTCTCTTCATAATTTTACAGATGGCCCAACTCTCTCAACAACGATAGAGCTGCCTTTCTAGAAGAAGCTGCTACTAAGCCACACTGAGCTCAACCACACACTACTCCCTCTAGATCTGGATGAGTTTTACCAAAATTTAGGATAAGCAAAATAGGAGTACACAGTATGGAAACTGTATGCCCTGAGGATTAGATAAAGTTTTAACCAAAGCAATCCACCCAGCATACTCCCAGCACCTGGTGCTCCCTAGCTGCTAAAAACTACCACATTAGGAGATTCCCTCTGCAACATCTGGATGAGACACCTCTTAGCAGGCTCCCCAACCCCAGGACAGCTTCTCCCTGACAACTCAGGAAAGCCTGAGACCAACCTCATTCATGAGAGGGGTCTATTTACTTCTTATCAAACTACCTGGCAGAGAGAGCAAGGTCTCAGCTCAGCTACCCCAATGACAGTGCCTCTGTTCTAAGAAACTGTTCCACAGGAACTTAGGATTCACTGTAAGCTCCTTGCTGAATTTCATTAGGTTTTTGTTTGGGTTATTTATTTATTTGCTATTTTTGTTAGAGGTCAGACATAGCAGCACCAAGAGACAAAACAGTGTCCACTAGAATTAACCAAGCCACTCCAAAGACAAAAGGCACTGGAATTTCCATATCAGAACTACAAGCAGTGTTGCAGTGATGAGAACTCATTTTTTCTCTCTTTATAAAAGAGTCTTCCTGTAAAAATATCCGGTGATTTAGTGCTAACTAAAAAAGGAAAATGATGCTTTCTACAGCGAAGCCTAAACACCTTCAGCTTCAGCATGAGTGAGATCAGCGAAGATCTGCAAAGTCAAGAAAACTAGCTGTTTCCCTCCTCCTCCTCCTCAAGCTAATAGAATCCAACTGTTTGAGCATGACATCATTGCCGAGCCCCAAACCCAGTGCAGAGTACAGAACACACACTCACTGGCCTCCCAGAAAACAGTCCCAGGCCAGCAAAGAAAGGCGATCTTCCCCACCAAGCTAACCTTACCTGAAAGTCGCGGTGCTTTCCTGCCCCCTCCATTTTCAGCAGAGTCTGGCTCACACCTCAGTTGGTTAGGGAGCCCAGGGCCCCCAAATCCACTGGCTTAAGCTCCCAGTACCTGCTGCAAAAGCTTCCCACCACTCCTTCCTCTGACCTTTCGTGGCGCTCCTTTCCAGCCAAGTGAGCCGAGGGCTGCTAGCCGGCCAGGCCAGTTGTCATGGAGACCCTGTCCTCCCAGGCGGCGCCTTGTGCAAGCTCTCAGTCTACCAGGAGCAAGAGCGCGCGTGCGCGCACACACACACATTCTCTCACTCTGTTCTAGGAGACTTCCATGAAACAGCACTGTCTTTTGATCAGTTCAGTCTTTGCAAACATTCCACTCCTCCTACCTCCCTTCCAGTCAACCAGGGGCTCTGGAGTGTTCCTGGGAACTTGCTTCAACAGCTCAGAGGGAAGAAGGGAGAGACAGTGAATGTTTTCCTCCCCGACCGACCAGTCTCTCTCTCTCTCTCTCTCTCTCTCAGAATCCCCGCCAGGGGAGGAGGGAACTAGCTGGAACACTTGAAGGGGAAGCAAGCCCTTCCTCTGGGTCCTGGAGTATGGGTAGGAGGGACCCTGATACACTGCCTTGACTTGTTTGTTCACTTGGGATTTTCCAGGCAGAAGCTAAGAAGGAAACGCACTCATATCCTGGGAGCTCGCCTGGACTGGCCTCCCTGCTTACCTTGCTGCCTGTCCAGGTCCTGGAGATGACTTTAACCAGTACAAGGACCCATGATACTAGTGTGGGACCAACGTCAGAGCAGCCTCAGCTTCCTGCAATGGAGAGAAAACACACTAAGTCAGGAACAGTAAGAGTGTCCAGGACAAGTCCATTGTCACAGACAGGGCAAAAAACAAACACAGTCTCTTCTCTCTGCCCTGCTCAAACCTCATAAACCAGGCCTCCCGTGGGCTGTCCCAATGCTAGCACAATACCTACAGCACAACAGTCCCTCTGACCTCACAGTCCCTGTGGACACTCATACTTTAACATTCTTTTATATGTATTATTGTTTCATCTTCACAACCTTTTAGCATATACTGGACAAGCCGGGCACCAGTGGCTCACGCCTGTTATCCTAGCTACTTAGGAGGCTGAGATCTGAGGATCACGGTTCAAAGCCAGCCCGGGCAGGAAAGTCCTAAGACTCTTAGCTCCAATAAACCACTCAGAAAACTGGAAGTGGCGCTGTGGCTTGTGATAAAGCGCTAGCCTTGAGCTGAAGAGCTCAGGGACAGCGCCCAGGCCCAGAGTTCAAGCCCTGAGACCACTAAATAAATAAATAGAATATACCAGACAGATAGGTTTGTGAGCATTTTATAGATGGGAAAACAGAAGCCCAGAAAAATTCAATGTAGATCTACAGTTATACAGCTACTTGGACAAAGAACTAAAGACAAGAGGCTAGTCAAGTAGCCTCTAATCCAGTATACTTACTACTAACGTTTACTCCCACCTGATCTTGAAAACTAGCCAGTTTTCTGATAACCAGTTATGAATTACAAGACTGGATTCCCAGGGGAAGGCAGAGACAGTCCTCTGAGTCCTGGTAAGGTAAGCCTGACTTCAATTCTTCTAGCCTGAAGCCTTTTATGATAGTATCTATTTGGTGTAGAACATCCTGATACACGGATGGGAAGGAAAGTGTCCTCCCCTATAGCTATGCATTGTCTCTCCTTACACTGTTTCAAAATATATTTTAGCCCTACAGATCACCACAGTAGGCCCGAAAGTCAGGACTACTATTATTATACTAATTTGAACAGATTTGTTTTTCCAACCAAAACCAGGAAGTGACACAAACAGTACCAACCCTTCCAACTCTTTGGTATACATTAAGCAGTATAGTGTCAAGAGCATCAGGCAGAGCAGGGATCCAAAGACCTTGGCAGTGCCTGACCTAGTCACCTGCCATTGGGCAAAACATGCAACCTTCTGGTTTCTACCAGATACAATTTATTACCCAGGCAGGGCAGAGAAGAGCACTAAAAGAAATCCTCTATGTCAAAGCACCTCTGTAAGTCAGGTTTAGAGCTTAAAAACCTCACTCAGCTTCAAACAAACAGAAAACACTACTAACAGTTGGTCTGTCCACTAGATGAAGACATGGAAGCTCAATGACAGCATTTTCCAGTATTGTTCCCCAAAGGGATGCTAGAATCTTAAAGGCGGAAATCCCTTGCAGAAACCTTATGATTCTGATTAACCTTCTGTATACTGTGCAATTCTCAAAACAAGTTTTTGATTGACTTGAATTTAAAACATAAATAAATATGCCAGAAACTAAGGGAGAAGAAATGTCATAAAATCTAACAGGAAATGACAGGTTGGCCCACATCCTAAGTGGTGGGCACTATTATTTTAGTGGTGCAATCAAAACTTTAAAGGCTATGTGCCTAACAACTCACTATAAATATCCAACGTATCTAACTCCCAGTTCAAGCATCTCTCATAGGCCCTAGATTCCCAAGTCTACAAAGGAAGTCAGGATGGAAGGACAAAGCCAGGCACTGGTGGCTCATGCCTGTGATCCTAGCTACTCAGAAGCTAAGATCTGAGGATTGCAATTCAAAGCCAGCCTGAGCAGGAAAGTCCGTGAAACTCTTATCTCCAATTAACTACCAGAAAACTGGAAGTGGAGCTGTGTCTCAAAGTGATAGAGTGCTAGCCTTGAATGAAAGAGCTAAGGGACAGTGCCCAAACCCTGAGTTCCAGCCCCATGACCACCACCATCACCACTACCACCACCAACAAAAAAAAAAAAGATGAAAGACAAATACAATATGATTAAATCCACAAACTTCTTCCTCCACCCACATCCAACAAGTGTTTCTCTGTCCTTTTGGGTCCAGAAAGTATGCATTCCATTTTCCTACTCTCTATACTGAAAAGCAACAGGTGATTCCATCCATTTCTTTTTTTTTTTTTTTTAATTTTATTTTATTTTATTTGAGAACATACTGTACAGAGGGGTTACAATTACATGGGCAGGATAATGCATACATTTCTTACCAAGCATTGCAGCCTCCTCCTTTGTTTACCCTTCACCTCCCTTCCCAGCCTCCCCCCTCCCTCCCACCCAATCATACCCCCCCCCCCCCCCCCGTCCATTTCTATAAGGTAAAATTCACAGTATAACAGTAATACCAATGAACATTTTTGAGCACCTATATATCAGCTTTTTTTAAAATTTTAGGCAGAATGAAGGGTCAAGAGTTTGGGCTGAGTACTAAAGCTGGTAAGAGTCACTGCACTAAAGTAATGCAAATTTAGGGAGCTATAAAGACTCAGCACAGGATGCAGACCATGCTCCCCCTAGTGGCAAGCTGGAGTTACAGAGGCTCTTAAGGGAAGAGACAAAGGACTCCCCTTGAGCTCTTTAATGGTGGGACAAGAACCTTTGTATTGGTGATTCTGTGAGCTTTTTGAGCTAGAAAGACCCAGGGGTAAGCTGATTCCCTCTGTTGTCTCTACAAGGCTAGACTCAACATCCATCTTACTTGATCGTTCCTGAAGAGTCAAGATTTTGGGGGTTGGGAAGGTGGCTCCATGGTAGAGCGCTTGCCTTGCATGCATGAGGCCCTGGGTTCAATTCCTCAGCACCACATAAGCAGAAAAGGCCAGAAGTGGTGCTGTGGCTCAAGTGGTAGAGAGCTCACCTTGAGCTGAAGAGCTGTGGGATAGTGCCCAGGCCCAGAGTTCAAGCCCCACGACCAGCAAAAAAAAAAAAAAAAAAGAGTCAAGATTTTACAGACTGCCTGGTGCCAGTTGGCTCACGTCTGCAATCCAAGCTACTCAGGAGGCTGAGATCTGATTACTGAATCTAGCCTAGGCAACAAACCATGACTCTTATCTCCAATTAATGATCAAACATCTGGAAGTGAGCTGTGGCTAGAAAAAGCTAAGGCACAGCACCTAGGTCCTGAGTTCAAGCCCCAGTACTGCTAACACACACACACACATACACACACAAACACAAAGGAAGGAAGGAGGAGGAAGGGAGAAAGAGAAAGAGAGAGAGAGAAAGAGAGAGAGAGGAGAGAGGGAAAAGATTTTACAGGCTGTTCTGGTATTTGTTAAGAAACACAGTTACATTTGAACCAAAACCCTGGGAAACATCTCCCTACCTCTGTCTCCCCATATCCAACTCATTAAGCAACTCCAAATATTCTACTTACAAAATATATTTAATATCTACCCATTTTTCTCTACTTGCATTGCCCCTCATCTGTCACTCTTAATTACTGCAAAATCTAACTGTCCCAACTTCAACTCTAGCCCTTTCTGGAAATATACAAAAAAGCAAACTCAATTTTTCCTACATTCTCACTTGACAATCAACTCAAAAGATTTCTAACCAATTAAGCAAGTAATCAATTTTTCAGTAGGCACCAACTAAGTGTTCTTTAAGTCTGATGCTCCATAGAGACAGTTCTATTATCCTTAAGTTGAGGGCTCAGTCCCAAAGACTACATCCCCCTTCAATCTCACTGCAGATGCCAAGTGCACACCCCACGCCACTGACTAACCATCTACAAATCAGAGCTTCCACACCCCCTCGTCAAACTGAATTAATTTGCAAGACGGGCTCACTGATCTTAGGGAAACATTTATGTTTACCAGGTTACTAGAAATGATATTGGGGTACATGTGAACACAGATGGAAATGATCTTTGGGCAAGATCACTTTGCACATACCCCATATGCAAAGTGATACTCCAGGCCCACTTTAGGCAGGGGACCTACTGGGAATCTCCTCAGATTTGCCTATTCCAAAATTCTCAGGATAGAGTCCTCTGGGTTTTTATGAAAGCTTAATTATACTGGCATTGGTAACAACATAAGTGAAGGTGGGAAAGTTCCAATCCTCTAGACATGTGGTTGCCTCCACTGGCAACCAGCCCCTATACCAAGGCCATCCAGAAGCCTCAGCCTTCAGTCAACTCAATAGCATACCAAAAAGGAGACACATCACTTTAGAAAGTCTAAGGATCTTAGGACTTGTCTGCCAGAGAAAGGGAAGGAAAATCAAATACATATTTCATAATATCACACTCACATTCATTTTCCACAGAGCTGTCCAAATCACCTTTTCACATGACATATGTCATTTCCTGCTTAACACACTCAGGTGGAGTTCTACTAAACCTAAGATAAAATGTAAGTGCCTACCAAGACCTATAAGGCCTAGCATGATTCTTCTCTAGACTCCTCTCAGCACACTTCCTGTCTTTCTCCCTTCCTGTATCAGCCACACAGACATCTTTTAGTTCCCTAAAACTGACAGATTGTTTCTAGACTGTCTAGCTCAGCCTGGAACATTCCTCAACCCCACAGTCTGTCTGGATAGCCTTGGACTTACCTGGTCTCAACTTGACTCTCAGCTCTGGCTTCCCTGGCCCTCAAGTCTAACTGCA